GGGTCCCAACTTCGCAGGGGCCCCTCGCCAGCGAGGAACAGCCACCCGAGGGGGACGGCAGCTTGGCTTCAGGCCGGGGCAGTCAGACCTCCCCCGGGGTAACCACAGGCAGGGCTGTGCCTGGGGTCTGCCCTGAGAGCCAAGGGAGCTGCTGGCGCAGGGTTAAGGGGTAAACCCAGACAATATTACAGCTGAAATGAATTACAGGGGAGGGGACGTTGCAGCACCCCCAGCCCAGGGTCGCACCTTGGCAGGGGGAGGTCTCTGTCTTTGCAATTCCCCTCGTGGTGCTGCTCCAAAGGGGAACCGGCAGATCCCATCACCCATGTGTCCTGGTAGCCAGCCTGGGGCCACATCCCAGGCACCGGGACAACCTGCCACAGATGGTTCATCATGAAAGGGTCATGAAACGTGGTTACAATAAGGTCCCTGAGGCCATCACCATGCGGGTTACCGGCTGAGTCGGCCCCAGCAGGGGCTTTGCATCCCCAATACACACCTGGAGGGTACAAACCCGCAGGGAGGTGAGATGTCCAGTTGCCCCAGCAGCAATTGCCTTGAGTCATCTCTCAAGACAGGCATGTCGCAGGACAGAGGAAAGGGGTTGGCACTTTCTCATCCCCTACCCTGCACAGGACCAGACTGCAGACAAGTGCTGCAGTTGTGGCTGTGTTCTGCCCGTTGCAGAGTGTGCTTTAGCCTCATGCCCAGGTACCACCACCGCTGCCTCTCCACAGCAGCACTGGGGGCAGGCGGCAGCCCCCAGCCTCCAGCTCCACTGACAGACCAGCCCTGAACCAGCCTCTGGCTGCCCTGAGACCCATGGGTCCGACAGGGGGGAAAAAGGTGCCCCGGGTGGCCACAACCCAGAGCTACACACACAGATGGGTGCTGGCCACCCTCACCAGGCCACTCCTGGTATGTTGTCACCCGTGCAGCAAGGGCGAGGCCACTGACATGTGGCAGGACTACAAAATGCAGTCTTGAGTTGTGACAAAGCTTTCTCCATGCTTATCTCTACATGGGTGCTTCACACCAGGCAGAGCACAGCCCTCAGCCTGTGCACACAAGTGCTCTTCCCCTTCCTCAGAGCTTTTAATGAAGAGCTCATGTTGAGCGGCTACCCCAGCTCCTTTCTGGGCTGCAACACCTCGGTATGGGCTCATCCTTTCTTTGCCAGACCCAGCTCTCCCTCTCAAGTTTGGATCGTGGTGCATGAGACCTCAGCAGACAAGTGAAATAGGCCGTGGACCACATGGCAGCAGCAGCAGGAGCCACAGCTAGTGCCTGGGAATGGAGATTCAGATCTTTCTCAGCACTGGGCAGTCTGGAGGGGAATAAAATTGCATCATTCAGCATAGCACAAGCCCTTTTTCTTAGGCACAAAAGATCAGTGTTGAGCCATTTCAAGGGTATAGTCCAGTGAAGGAAAAAACCTCATCTGTGAACCAAGATTTGCTTTACATTTTTTTTCCAAAACCCTGCAAGGATATAACAAACTGCTCCAGACAGTCTGCTCTTACAAAAGCCCTTGCAAATACTTTGTCCCAGCCCTGAAACACAGGGGTTTTCCCAGCAGCTGTTTTAACCAGCCCATTTATTTTAACTGCTGGCAGAGTGTCACCCCTTTTAGAACAGCCCATCTGGGCAATACACGATGGCCCCCACATAGGTCACGTGAGCCAGGGCGAGCAGGACAGGCAAGCACAGGCAGGACAGGCAGGCACAGGCAGCACCGCGGCCCCACATTCTCTGGGATGCTGTAGGAGCAGCAAGCAACCTGCCAGCGAGGGAATGGCCCTGTCCAGCGTGAAGGGCAGTCAGGGGAGGATGGCTGGGAACAGGCCGAAAACTGCAAGCTTAGGGATATCAATAGGAGACAGAAGAGTTAGCAGGTGTGGAGCTGGCACCTGGAGCTCAGAGAGAGGTAGCTGCCTCAGAACCCCTGAGAAGGAAAGAGGAAAGGCAAACCCATGCAGAACGATTTATTTTGGCTGTTTATTTGCTGTCATAGAAGTAGAGCCAACCCTTAGAGACAAGGTGATGGAGGTGGTGGGGAGGCACCTGAGGGTGAGGGCAAGAACCTGTCTTCTGGTGCCAATATGGCCTTAGGTCAGATTAAGCCAACTAAAACTTTATCCTAAAGCCCTTCACTGCAGCAGGAACCTCGACTGATGCAGGAAGGGAAGAAATCCATTCCTTGGGTCCTAGTCCTGCAGCTCAACCTCTCCTCTGTGCACTCACGAGCCACAGCTGTTTTTATAAAGCACAGGACATATCCTGACAATTCTGCTCATTGTTTTCTTTCACAGTCTTTCCACAAAACTGCTGGTTATTTGGCTGGCAGAAATATCTATGCTCTGTGCATCATACTTTACACCAGAATTCCCAACCTTTTATTTTCCTACAAGTCTCACACCCCGGTAAGCGGTCACCCACAGCCCACACAATTGATCTTCCACATGGGCATATATCCCTGTAATATCTCATAATAACAATAATAATAATACAAATAATAAATATAAAAGAGCCACGGCCCTTTCCATGTCCCAGTGCCACTAGATGGCACCAGGTGTGTACCCTTCCTAGCGCGAGGTGTCCCCAGCGCTACTGGGGGAAACTGGGGGGCCCAGCCCAGCCCTTGGTGCAGAGCAAGAGACCTCAACACATACTGGTGCCTCCTCCTCCTTACCACATGGACCACGGGGTGCTTGAATAAAGGCAGACATTTAAGCCTTAAAATCAAACCTTAGCAAAGTGCTGGGGTGTTTCCCCATGGGGGAATTACCTGTGGTGTCTTTTGTCATGCTGCTGATCCCACACACATACCCATCCCCACCCATGGGTCAGGCATTGCTTCCCAGCTGGGTGCTTGGCAGAGCCTGAGGCTGAAGAGGAAAGCCTCAAAGGTGGGTGCCAGTTATTCCAGTTACTACTGGGATCAATCAGTGTACAAATTCCCAGCTCTGACAGGCTCCTCTTGGGAGAGGGGAGGAAAGGGAGTAGAACACAATTTACTATGCTATTCTCCAATCAGCAAGTGGCTTGCCCTCTCTGAAGTTTTAGAGATTGATTCTCCTTGTGCACATTTGCTATCCAACACAGCTCAGCATGTCCCAAATCCTCAGTATTTCCTGTCTCTTCATCATCAAGACCTCCATTCACTGCCACACATCTTTGGCAAAGCCACTAAGTAAACTGGGGAGCACAGGTAGCACCTCGGCAGAAGTCAGGTCTTTCCTCAGACCTTGCAGCATAATTAAGGAGCGTCTATTTTCCACTGTTTCCAGCATCGACCACTGAAGGTGACCCTTGGAGATGGCAGCTCAAATGACGGGGGTGGCTGGCAAGGCTCTGCTGCACGCAGCACTTCAAAGCAGCCAGCCAAATCCCGGCCCTGAGCAGTGTGAGGGACACGAGTGACGAATAGTTGCTCACCACACAACCGGTCGGCCCAGTGCAGAGCTGGGGAGGGGACAGACGGAGAGAAGCTCTCAAAAAAGCCAGAGCACCAAACCACCAAGATCAGTGTGTCACTCCTGGCTGCCCACATCCCCGGGGCTGGCATGACCAGGTGATGGGTGAGCATGGCAGTGTCATGACCCTTGTGCCAAGGGGATCCCTGTGAAGCCTTGGATGCAGGGGGAGTGGGAGAGGGTCTTTGTGCAGGGAGCCTCTGGGTGCTGAGCTCCAAGCAATCCTGTCCTGCTCGTGATGGTGCAGCTGCTGGACATGAGGGCAAGTGGAAGAAGTTCAGCATGGCTCCATGGTGGCCCTGGCAGGCTGATGGCAACAGCAGTGCTGCCCCTGCCCACGTCCCAAGGCCAGGAGATAATCCTGCAGAAGGATCCTGAGTGTGACCCTGATTCCCAGCCCTCCGCAGAGAGCAGCACAAATCCCACCCAAGAGCTTTAACCTAGCCTAGGTGAAGGCTAGAAAGAAGGAGGCTGGGTCCCTTGGGAAGGTCAGAGCACACAGAAGAGTGGGTTGAAATCCCCCCAAACAAGGGAAATCCCTCATTGACCTTCCTCACAGCCTCCCCTCCCTCATCACCTCAGATAGACCCAGGGAGAGACCCAGCATCCTCCCTGCAACTGCCTCACCTCCTGGAAAGCCACCAGGAGCCTCCCCACACACCATCTGCTCTCCCCAGGTGACTTGCAGGTGGCTGAGGACATCCCTCCCACACCATCTGCCTCCACACCTGGCAGCCTCTTCCCATCACACCCTATGCCCACCCCAGCCAACGTTCCTGGGCCCTCCAGCTCTAGAAAATCTTGTATGTGACACCAGCACCAAACCTCGTGGGCAAACTCAAGTCTTCATTTACCATCTCCACAACTGGATTCTACACACAGGGTGCAGACACTCGCTGTGAAGAAATCTCATTGAAAGCAGTGCTTCTCCACACACACGCAGAGCAGAAGGCACTGCCCCTCCCCGGCTGCCCAGCCAGGACAGGCACAGCAGCAGCCATGATGGTGGAGGGCTTGTCCACAGCCATCTCATCTGCAGGGCCAGCAGTGGCAAGCCCAGCATTCCCCATAGCTCCCAACCACTTCCTGAATGTAGAATATACCCTTGTCTGACTGCGAATGTCAAATGGCAGGGACGTGCATAGGCATTGACATGTACATGGCAGGAGCCGACCACATGTGGTGGGATTATTTTTAGCCCAACCATGGTCAAAATGTCAGAGGGGCTTTTATTTATTTTCTCTGGAAGGCTCGTTGCTTGAAATCTCCATCAGCAGAGACTGACTCTGACCCTGCTGTCAGAGTCAGGTCTGTCATCCCCTCTTGCCCTTGGAAAAAAAAAAGTGGAATTAGCTGGGAGGGGAGGCTGACTGGCCCAGCGTGCCCAAGAGGGCTGTCACCCTTCGGAGAGCCCACAGCCCAACCTGCACCCCCCCGGCCAGGCTGCAGCTCCTCCAGCCTGCCCACGTCCTGGTAAAGGTCTCACCGAAGCTGCAATGGACAGCTAGAAAATGCAAGGGACACAGGAGCTGGGCCTTTGAAGCAGATGTGCGGGAAGGGCAGGCAGGCCACAAGACTCACTGTCCTTTAATGATGTGAAGGATGGAGTGTAACGGTGTTGAGGTCTCATGGTGCCCCACAAGCCCACAGATGACTCCCCTGGAGATGGAGCAGCCTGTTCCTTATTGTTTCTCTGCCACTCACCCCATGCTCAGTGCTGTGCCAGGAGCAAAGCTGATGACATTTATAAACTTGCCCCAGCTCCTGTCAAGCTCTCAGGGCCCCATCTGCCCAGAGGTCTCTGGGGGAACAGGCTGCCCCTGAGCCAGGACACCCACATACCTGGGTAAAGGCATGGTGCTGCAGAGCACAGCAGCGCCCACCCCAGCCTGTGCTTTCCCAGGGCCTTATGTCCCTCACCTCACACATTGATGGGTTATGCACAAATTTGTCCCTTTTCTTTTTAGGAAAGCAGATTCAAGGGGGAATGGCTGCTCAGAAAACCACTGGCACATCTGAGGTAGTAGAACTTTTGTGCTTGTTTACATGGCCAGAGAGGAGCGGTAATGGCCTATATTAACACAATAGGGAAGGAGGGCCTTGAACCAAATCCAGCTTAGAGGTTGCAACCAGTCCATAGATAACTGAGAAGAAAAGTCAGTGTTTTTCCGGTGGAACTGCCTATTTACATCTGAAAACAGAACAGACCTTGCCTGGAGGCTGGGACAAACAACTCCTTTCACTGCCTGCTTCCCATGAGGCTTTCCCCTCCCTCTCCAAAAGGAAATTTCCAGTAACTGAGGTATAAAAATGAATGCAAGATTCTGCTCCAGAGCCAGCTGTAAAACTCATAGGGGAAGAGAGCTCCTTGTCCCACAGCCAGCACCAAAGCAGGTCACAGCCTTCGTGTGCGGGGAGCGAGGGAAGAGGCAACTCCGTCTGCATTCCTCCTGGTACAGGTCAGGTTTTGGGGGGTGGATCCGGGTGCCCAAACCTGCAGGCACTACCAGCACCACGCGGTAAGGCAGGTTTCCCTAACAGAGGGTTCTGGGTCCCTGGGGGAGATTGTGATGCCATGTCACCTGCTAGGACACCATGGGGTGCAGCAGACCCTGGTTTTGTGTGAGATTGCATGAAGGGATGGAAACAGACAGAAATTTGGTAATGGGGAACCTTCCTCCTCTTCTACACACCACCATGACACAGCCTGGGAATAACCACCATGACTCAGCTAAGTAGCAATCTCTAGCAAATTTTGAAGGAATGTCTTTCTGCCATATCCCATTCATCTTCCACTGGGACTTTGCATAGAAGATTAGGATTTGGGCCACGTGGTTCTCCTGCAAAAGTTCTGCATGTGTCTTCCATTCTTCCATAGCTGTCAAGCTTGTCCATGCATCTGGCTGCACAGGTCCCTGAAGCTTTCAAGGAGCTGTTGACTGCAGATGTTGCCACGTGGGAGTGAGACCTTAAGTTTCTCACAGCAGGCCTGAGGGAAAGCAAAAAAAAAAAGCTGGGTAGTTAAAATAGCAGTCATTAGAACATGTGCAAGAGTCAAACAGCAAAAACATCCCTCCTATGCACAGACTCTTGCATGAAGCTGTACTGACATTTACCTGCTGCAAATCTCCAGTGCCTGGACTACTCTGGGTAATGCAATCCATGGGCCCACAGCTGTGGGCATCATCCCTGTTGTTCCCTGCTCACTCTAGCCAAAGCTGGTCACTCCTCTTCTGGGAGGTCATTTCATGCTAACATGAAACAACCAAAGGCAACACTTTTCCAAAGTCCTCCCACCTCCACATACAGAATGGAAAAATATGTGCAACTACTGTGTCCCTGGCTGGGAGAAAGCAGATGATTCCCAAGGTACCTGCAGGTCACACCCCAGAGTGGCAGCTAAATAGCAGGGCTGGGATGGAAGGAGGAAGGTGACCTTCCTTTGAGCACATCCCATAATTGATTTCAGTTACTGCTACCCCTGAGCTTGAGTGAGGCTTACTAACCTGTGCTACACATGTGTTTCCACCACCCTGCAGGCTCAGCCAGGTCTTCTGGGATTTGGGACCCTATTTACCCAGGGGATTTCAGCAAACAGGAGATTAAGTGACTTGCAGTGTTTTAAAAACCTGTTCCTCAACATCTTTTCTAAAGTAAAGGTGATGCCATGGGTAATTTCTTTAAAGGAGGGTATAGAAGTGGGTGGCTGATAGCCAGTTCATTATATCACAATCAATTTTCATTAAAAAGGAAAAGCTTGTGTGCTTATTAATTGTTTCTCTAATTGCTCTCTCTCCCTGCTACCAGGGTAACCCGCTGTCTGCTTGTTCCTGATGGACCCAGGTCAGAAGCCCTGCATAGCTCATCTCTGATCTGCTAACACGGGGAACTATAAATAAATGGTGACACTGGAGAGCGGAGGAGGAAGGTGGAAAGGGGCTGTGCTCCTTAACCTGAGATACTGTCTACTCAGCTCATCCAGCAAAAGGTGACTGGTGAAAATCTGTAAATATTAACTGAGGGGGACTATTTCTGATAGCCGAGGGCTCTGGCCTGGCAGAGATAAAACAAAATTCTCCAGCCCTGAGATGGAGCTGGAGAATTTTGGACTAAAAAGAAGTTGCAGATTATTTAAAGTGAAGCAAACAGCTGCATGTTCTCAACTAAGAAGTATTTTTAAACCATGAGGACCTGCTTAGCTTCAAGATCTGCTGCAGCTTACTCAAGAAAAAAAAAAAAAATCCCCAATTTGTGACTGCAAAGGAATCCCTTAGGAAACTGCAAGGAGATTGCAGGTCTTCCAAATGAGCCCTGGCAAATCACACCAGAGGATTTAAGACCTTACAGTGACAGTCATCCCTCTGACTTTTATCCCTCTTCGCTTCTGTCACCAGCTGCTGCTGCCAGCATGGAGGGGGAACACAGCAGCACAGCACAGTTGCTTGAACAGGATCAAGCCCAGTTTAATTAATACAGCTCTCGTGGAGGGGGCAGCAGCGGGGCTCACGTACCCCTACCCTAGGCACCAGGGAAGCAGGAGGACCACCGAGGAGAGGCCCCTCAGCATTGGCAGGGCAAGCCTGGGACACCCTGCCCATGACACAGGGTAAGGGCTGCGAGGGAGGGGATGCTGCCGAGAGACCTTGCTGCAAAAGGACACACAGATGGGAGTGAAGGAGCAGGAAGAACAGCCCTGCCTTCTCCTTTGTCCCTGCTGTAACTTGAATCATGCATCTAAGCTTTCAGCACCCTGCACTGCTTATGACACGATGCTTCCTAATGAGGAAATTTGCAGAGAGGGAAGTAGAACTGGTGTATACAGCAATGAGGGCCTCGGGGAGGTGACGCTACAGCCATAGTTGTTCCACCTCCCTGTGAGCCGGAACACCTGTGCCTGTTCAGGTACACGTGTTACACACAGGCACGCTCACACTCACTCCCCTACCTTTGCTAACAGCAGAGGCAGCCACAGAGTCCATATTTTCTAGGTTTTACTTCTACATCTCCAAAAAGCAAGTTTGCTTCTGTTTCTGATTCCCTGCAATTATCGTGAAATGCCTTCAAGAGAGCAGCTCTGTCTTCTCGGCTGAGTGAGTCTTTGATGTCCAGCACTGCACTCAGGTGTTCCTTCCTTACCAAAAGGATAAGAGGACAAGTCAGTGAATGAGTCAAGGAAAAAAAGTTTGCTTCCTATCACTCAGTTTTGCTGACTAGACCAAAGATTGGAAGCTGCTGAGCTCTTTTAGACACCCTCTGGCCACCTAACAAGGAGGAGACTGTACCACAAGAGCTGTGTGGGATATGGCTGAGCTCATGGGTCCCAAAGCCCAGTGCACACAGCAACCCTGTGAAACCGTGGAAATCTTCACCTCAGGTTTCTCCTAGAGAAAGATCTGTATCCACCATAAGAGGTTTTGGATAACTCTGCATTTGACCACTTGGAAGTATTTTTGGTATCTTTTCTCCCCTCAAATGGAGCTATTTCTTGTTCATTTGGAAGGCTTAAGATTTTAGTTCTACATAGCACTGCTTCGCTGAGCAGGGCCAGACCATATTAGTCTGATTAACAAACAGGACAAATGTATCCAAGCCAAACATTTTAAACATGCACGAATCTGCTGAAATACAGAATAGTGTGTCTACTCACACCAGGATGACCACCTTTGAGATCTGGATCAAAATAATATTCTTCTGAGTACTTTCTATACACACATTTTATATTTTTTATATATCTCCTCATAAATACATAGTTATATATATATATATATATATAACTATTTTTATATATGTGTATACATATATTAAGAAAGTAAGCATTGTTATCCTGTACCAGTTAAGCAGCTTTTAACTCAACACCATCTTCAAAAGTAGTAAATGCTTAGGAAAAGATTATAGAAACCAGACAAAGCATAACATCATCTCTCTTTGTCTTTTTCTTTTTTTTTTTTTTTAATTCTGCTTCTGGCAGTCTGCAGTTTAGTGACTTCCTTCTCTGGGGGTTCTATCATGACTGTCATGTTGAATAGGCACTGAAATAATTATCTTCCACAAATTGTCTGTTCCCCATTTGAAGCTATTCACACTTTTGGCCTTCACAGCATCCTGTGACACAAAGCTCTGCACTGTAATCATGTTAATTTTGAAAAATACAGTCACTAGCACAAGACATCAGAACAAAAGATAAATGTAATATACCACAGACTTTGGAACAAATGCAGTTAGCTAAGATCTCACCTTTCTAATAAAAGTTGGGTTTCATTTCTGTTAACAGCTTCCTGTGAGAAATGGAAGTGTATATTCTTGCTGAGTACACCTAGGATTTTGTGGAAATGAGTTATAACTAGAAAAGGATTGGTGAAGTGTTAAAGCTGAAAGCCAAGTGCTTGGAAGTTATGAAATGCCTGAGTTAAGGATGTTCTTGAAACCTACATTTGTCACACATGTGCCTGTAAATTGTCCATTCGGGTAGTATTTTTCCACAGCATTCCTGCTTTGTTGACAGCCATTTCATCCATCCTTCATCTTTACAGAAAGACATCTCAACTTCACTGATTATTGTCTGGCAAAGTTATAAACCATGTTAATTAGCATCTGTGAATAGGCAGCACCGACTGCATTCAAAGGCAAGCACTGTGCCTGGCCCAGCATGCTGCCAAAAGTATCACAAGACTAATACTGCTCTAGGTCTTCTGGTGACAAGTAATCATGTCAGAAACCACAGAGGTCAAACCAATAAAAGACCTTACCTTAGATCAGGAAATTCTTTGAGAATGGGCAGAAGGGCTATTTTCATACCCTCAGCATCAGAAGCTTGAATAAGTTCTAAAATGGCTTTTATAGGATCTTTGAGGGGACCCGCTGCAGGACCCTGGGGAGAGAAGCAAAGGTGTGTTCAGGGCAAGGGAAGCAGCATATAAGTTAAGAACTGGACATATCAGACTGGGGATCTCACTGCATGGGTTAGGAGCTTTGCAGGACTGCATCTGCATATATAGAGGCCTGTTTTCCCTCCAGGGTAGGAGAAAAGAAATTGGGGTGTAGCTACAGACTGCTTCCAGGGCAGGTGGGCAACTACCTTCAGCAGTGCAGATTCCCCTCCTGCATTTCCTTGGCAAAGCGGGCAGAGTTCATTTTCCCTATATCACCCATCCCCTCAAGGCTGTTTCACCCTCTGGGAAGTGGTTTGCTTCCAGAGGTAAGCACAGCCCTGTACCTATGTGAAAACAAGCTCTGTTTGCCAGACATGATGCAATTTCTCCTGCCCTGGAGCAAGCCCAGGGACTGAAAAGCAACCCTGGGGAGGGGGTGAAGGGACACAGATCCTCTAAGAGAAAAACTGAAAAGATGGGAAGCAGGCCTGGACACTGTAAAGGATATGACATGGCTGGTAGATGCTGCATATGGGCAACTCCCTCTAAACTGGAGCACACGGAAGAAAAAAGCCTCATCAAGAAACACACAGCATTTTTAGCAAAGCTAGATGAATGTGGATGAACTGCCAAGGGAGAGCTTCAGTTTTGCTCACATTTTTCATCGGTGCAGTAATGCAATTAAATTGCTTCCCTGAATTATTGATGCCATCACGTCAACAGAGACTCTGTGACAAAGCAAACCTGGAGAACGGGCTGCCAGACTGGGGCAGGAGAAGCCCAGGTTCCCCTGATCTCCACGGGGCATTAGAAACAGCAGGCCACATTCTCAGCGCAGCTCACCTCCGCATTGAACATAAATTAAAAATAATAGTAATATTTGAAGACAGCCAGATTCTCTCTCTTCCTCTGCACTGCTGACACACAGCATGTCTAGCTCTGCACAGCACACAAGCTGTACTCAGCTCCTAAGGCACCGATACTGTATAGCTTCATACTTGGCAAGCTCACTATTACAAAGTGCTAATTAATTTGAAGGTGTCATATTTAGTTAAGCGCTATAGGGACAGGCAAGGTCAGAGGTAAACAGCCTGCAATCTAAAGAACAAAAAAGTAGTGCGTTGCCAGCAGTGCTTTAGTGCCTTTGACATGTACTGCTCTTAGGAGAGAAACAAGGTATTTCCTAATGTGTTTTGAGGCCAGAGGGGAAGGAAGAGCCTGAAGAGAGGGCAGAGCAGGGCAAGAGGCAGGTGCAGCCTGTGCAGCAACTGCACGATAAATTCAGTCTGCAGCAGAGTACATATTTTGCATGCATAGCCGTGTACCGCACTTGACTGAGGATCAGGCTGTCCCCTACAAATCACTTCTACATTTCCTCCCTGAGGTTTTCAGTGCTCCCACATCAAGTAAGAAAGCGAACAGTCTGGGGACGCCACTGCTAACGAGATGCAGACATTTTTCACCCAAGCTGAATGTAGGGTTTTAGTGGAGAATTAGATTTTCTGTATCTCCTTTACACTATAAAACCAGCTTTCCTTGCACATTACATCAAAAACTGGTGCTGAGCACAGCATTACTGGTAAACTTCAGAGTTAAGATTAGAGAATCCTCCAGCTATTCCCAATGGCTCAATTGCTCAAAGCGTTGACTTGTCTGTGATTGATCACTCCAGGCGAGGTGGGTCTTTAGCTTAAAAGCACTGGCAGCTTCCAGTTTCCCACCATGAAACTAATACATTAATTGTAACAGGTCTGAGAGCTTTTTAGAAGCTACAGACGATCATTTTGATTTCATTTTATTCTTCGGACAAAGTAAGAATTGCTGACAAATGACTTGCAGAGGGACTTGTCTAGGAGAAAATAGATTTCCAGTCCCTAGCACTTAAATTCACAAGTCATGAGAATGCCTCAGAATTTGTGAAATTATTAAAACCAGTAACACCAAGGTTTTATTATCTGCTCTGCCACATCTGAGTCCTGTTACCAGACTGACTTTGCAACCATTAATGTGATGATCAGTCTAGCCTCTTACAAAATGCTATGCCTGTGAACTCTCAGCCTGCATTTGCAAATGAGCTGTGCTGGGGGCCATTGCACAGCAGCAATTCTCTGGCTGGAGCAGCAGCAATAGGGGATGCTGCTGGCATTGCAGTTCTTGCCTTGGGTAATCAAGGGACCCATGTGACAGCCTGGTGGCATCCACAGATGCTGTATACAGCGCTGCCAATTACACCAGATTATAAATTAAACAAAGGGGCTTTTTTAACCTTCCAAAGGTGCTTCTGTAAATTAGACCTATCATTTTTCACAATTTTCTTCAAAGGTGTGGCTCTGCTTTTACACGCTGTCTACCCCTTCTGCAATGCATCTTTACCTCCTCACTGTGTGAGGTGTTTAGCCCCGCAGGAAGTCTCACTCCTCCCTGCAACCGTCACCAACCACAACAGCATCAGCATGTTCCCACCCATGAGGAAACGCTGCAGCACAGGGAAATGGCTCAGGAAGCCATGAGCCCAGCTCTGAGGGGCTGGGAAGGGCCTGCAGGGAGGAAGGAGGCCAGACGAAGGGGTAACAACACAGACTCCATGTCCAGGGAGGAGCAGCCATACAGGGTAATCCACGGAGAAGTCGAAGACGTGGAGCAGCTGATTTGGCTCATCACTCCAGGGACTTAAACACAGCTCTTCCTCATCTGCGCCCCCTTACCATGTACCGAAGATTGCCTGGGGGAGCTGATTGTTCTGGAGTCATCTCACCAGCTCAGAGGAGTGTGCCTCATTCTTATTTCAGTGGCAGGAGTGTGAAACTTGTCTCCTCTTGTCACACATTTTAAAACTATAAACTAACAGCTTCTGACAGACCAGAAGGGCCGTCAGCACATCTGACTGTCATTTCTGTGAAGCTGGATACCACTGTGGTATGACCTCTTAAGCTTTTCTGTTTCTTTCAGAGCTTTTTCCTCTGCTTACTGTTCTTGATGACAGAGAGCAAAACTCTAACCATATCAAAGACTTACTAAGCACTCTTTAAAAACAGTTTGCAGCATCCTATGGTCTTCTTCTATCTTGCTGACAATCCTCCTCCTCTGCACAGAAGATGGTTTCCTGGAAGTGGTCAGGAGGGCCTGCACATATTCTGTAATAATGATGGTGTTGACAGCCTTGACAAGGGCCTGTTCCAGAGAAAAACACCCAGATTAACTTAATTGTTCTGAGCAAGGACCAGACCATACCTATAGGACTGACTAGTATATCTGACAGCAGATATAGGGTCCATGCAGATGGTTGTTTCATTTCTTTGCTTAAGTATCCCTTTAAAATGCCTGGTCTAACACATGGAGTACCTCTAAACTGTGTATGTGGATGACATAAACATTGATGATAAGGGTGGAGACATCCCACCAAAATCAATGGGATCAGTTAGCTGAGTCAGAGATCACTCACACTCCAGAGCAGCAGTGACATCTGGCTTAGCCCCAAGCTAACAAACATGTCCCTTGGGGCCAGCTTGGACTACAGACAAAGCCAGATCCAACCTCCCTGGAGCATCCCCACAAGGTATGTCCCAGGGCCATACACAGAGAAGTCACCTGGGCATTTCTGAACCTCTGCTGAGAAACCCCAGTGCCGAGATCATGCAGTGCTTGAAATGGGGAGGGAGAACGAGTGATTGAAAATTTCTAAGGGGAGATGGGCTGCTGCACAGAAACTACACTTTCATTAGCAATTGAAATCAGAGCAGTTTTAGGCTGCAGTCCAAAGGTACAGGAAATCCCCAGCCCTGTCCAAAACAGACAAAGCAAGAGACAGACAGCTCTGGCACAGTGCTCCACCACTGAGATGCTGCTTGCCCCAGCACTAATGTGATATAATGTCCAGTGACAGGCGCTGAACAACAGCAGAATAGCTCCTAATTTTTTCTGTTCCATTACCTTTTTCCACATTTCAAAACGTTAATTAAAATCAGCACTGACAACGAGCCTGCAGACCTGGGAGGGTAAGAGAAAGGGATTCCAGTGCTTAGGGGAACACGTGAGGCACAGGTAGCAGCAGCAAATCCAACCTTCATGCAAAAGCGGGTAACCCCAGGCACCAATCCCATTGCCAAAGAGACAGACTCAAGGGTGCCCTGAGACCCTAAACAAATTGTCTAGGCTACTGTAAAGGTAAAAAACCTTAGGTACTCTGTGAGGTTGTTCTTTGCCAGCCCTGGCATATTTAACTCTGCATGAGAGACTATGTCCTTTGGGGATCTGGACCTTACACCTCTCCGTGTACTCTGTCCACTCTCCATCAAAGGGATAACTAATCCCTACAACTAAGGTTGAAGCACAGTAGAAGCTAAGATGATTTCCAATAAAATGGTACTGGGGCAATGGTAGGATCAGAGGTAGCTCAATGCTACACCTCTGTATTTGGGAGGTACATTTGGTTTCCACATTTCTCCACTTTTTAGTTTCTCTGCTGAGATTACAGAATGGTCCTAGCTGTCACAGTGAAGAAGATAGCCAACTCTGTTGGATAGAGGAACTGGACTGGGACCACTAGACCTTTAAAATCCCTTTTAACATTGGTTCAAATACTGTGCCATCTAGAGGTTCAAGGACTAGTTTTAGTGATTTCCTGAGTAATATCTTGTTCTTACTTTCTTACCTCATACATGTCTGTTTTTTTCTTCCCAAATGCCAAAAAGCTTTGCTTTAAGGATTCAAGGATGTGGTCAAAACCACTGCCACACTTTTTGAAGTGCTCCTTGAGTGTTCCCTGAGGAAAAGGGACAGACAGAGTCAAAGGGTGCACATGCAGAGACACTGCACAGACAGCAGACACGGATTATTGTATTTATGCTTTTTCTGCTCTGGGAAACAGACTCCTCCATGAGCTGCAGCATCCTGTGCCTTCAGTTCAAAGAAAAGCAAAGCATGAAAGAAAGAAATAACTCAAACTCAGGAAGTTCTTAAGCCCAAACTCGGAAGAACAAAAACTAGAAGAAATGGCTGTCAATAGCTCTAATCAAGGGAGTATGTAAAACGTGCCCCTACAGATGGGGAATGAAGGAAGAGCCAGTCGTTCGGCACCCTTCTGCTCTGGTGTCCTGCTCCCAGCATGGTAGTTGTCTCTTATTCAATGGGAAAGTATATTACAAGGATCATTTAGCAGGCAAGCAGGGGATAAACTCTGTCTTTCATGAGTCGAAGCCTGTGTCAACACAGCCGAAGAAGGACTGAAAACCTGAGCCCTAAGTCTCCTGTTCCTCCTTGGGGTTGTCCACACTCTCTGTCAAAACCACCCCAGCTCCTATCTTGATGCGTGTGTCCATGGGACAGGCTGGCAATAAGCTCTAGAGACCAAAGCTGCACAGTGTGGACAGGGTTTCTTTTGTTATTTTCTTTTTGCTGCCCTCAGCATGCTTGAGGGAGCCTGTGCAATGAGCCTGAAGATGCTCGGAGGAGCTTCCCAAGGAAATGCACAGCACCACATGCTATTAGGAGACTGCAATTGTGTGTTATCTAGACACGGAGCCCTGGATATGAAGGTGTGTGTCTGAGCTAATAGTCTAATACTAGCAAGTGTGAAGAAAGGGGAACTTATCCCAAGGGAAGGATATATTTCTGGTCAGCTTTCCCTACATCCTGACTACTCACCACAGCTTTGGGCTTTGTGAGTTAGTGCCCCAGGAAGATGCTCGGTTGCTGAGGATGAGTAGGTACCAGGTGAAGTTCAACCCTTGGGGTCTGGGTGCCCAGGGGCACCATGGGGTGCCCATTTGTAGCACGACAGCAAATACTACAAACACTGGAACTGGGATCCCAAAAAAATGGAAAAGACAAGCTGCCAATATACATCTTCAGACAAGGCAGAGTAGGGTACTGGGCCTAAAGATCAAACTATGGCTTCACCCTCTCCAAATCAGGACAACAGACTGAAGTGTGTGCCTGCCCTACAGTCTGAAAATATTCAGTGTTAATGTGGGTGTCCCATACCTTGACTTTAGAAGTGACTGTCTGCAGAAAATGCTCTGTAATCTCATCTTCCATCCTGTCTAGAGATCCATTTACCTTAACATCCTGATCAGTGCTGGCACTGCAAATGTACGTTAATTTATGCCAGATAGTCCTGTAAAAAAAAAAAAAAAAAAAAAAAAAAAAAAAAAAAAAAAGGATATGGAAAGTTTTGATCGGATCAAATCAGGCTATTGTCTCAGATCAAAACTCTTCCTACAATAATCAACACAACTGCCTGGGTAACTGGATGGACACATGCTTAGGTCCAGGGCTAGTTCAGTGACCCACATATGTGCACCCATCATTTGGATGGCTGTCATTAAGATACTGCCACAAGGACACAAAAGCTCAATGCACACAAATGCCACCTGTACCCATCACTAGTGAGATTAGATAAATAAAAATTCTAGTATTTTCAGAAACAAGTGGGCATGAAATGGTGTTGACACATTGAAACTGGGTGAGGATCCTGTGTGTCTCTGACACCTGACAAATATAAGACAAACTATTATCTTCCATCAGAACAGTCTTCAAGTCAGCAAATCATAGTTAAAATGATCACCAGCTTGGAAACAGACGTTCTGCTTTCTGGAAAAGCTCAGTGTATAACGTCGTTCTCAATATCACTGTAAAGAATTACATAAAAGAGCTTCATACGTATTCAGTCTAGGATCCAGCATCAGCAACATGTAAATACAACAAACAAAACAGCTACCTAGGCTCAGCGCAAGGCTCCAATGTCAAGTAAGCACTGTGCATATGCTGGATTTGGGCATTTTGCTGACTCCAGAGATCCCCAGATAATTTTACACGCGAAGAGAAGCAACCTTGTTGTCTCCACTGCTGCAAGCATTTCTGAAATTAGCTCATAGGTGCAAACAGCCTCCCCCACCCTTCTGTGCTTTAATGCTTCCCTCCTTCCTAGCAACCCCAGGGAAAGCCTGGCATGTTCAACTAGGTTTCATTCAGCAAAGCACTTAAGCACTTACCTTAGAGTGCACTAGCACACGCATCTCAGTGCAACATTTATGAGGCTTTCCTAATGAAAGAGAATCAGGCCAGGGAAAAGAACTACAACACGACACACAGCAGGGTTGGCCAGGATAATGTCCCCACACGCAACACGGCATTGCTGCCTGCCTCCTGGTCAGTGTCGTGGGCACCAGGAAGAGTAAGATGGTGGCCCACAGGCTATGGCCCCTGCACCTGCAGGGTCTAGGAGCAGGTGAGAAGCAGAAGTACAGCGCTGCCAATGCAGCAGTCCCAGCCCTGGTCATGGGCACAGCCCTGAGTCTCTCTCTCACTGAGGCAGCCAGGGCAGCACTGAAGGGGTCTTGCTGACCACAGCTGGCTCCTTCTGTGCTTAAGGGTTGGTGTGCATGGGGTTGGATCACCAGATCTAGCCAGAGGCAAGGCTGACCCCATAGCAGAGTTAGAAGAAGGATCAGAAAATTCATTTTGCTTCCCATGCCACTAGGGTTTAGTGTCTAACCTGAGAATGCAGCAGTTCTCCAGGATTCGTAAGCTGCTGCAGATCCCTGAGCGCCCATCGAGCTGGAGAAAGCTTCTAACTTCATTTTCGTAGCTAAATTAAAACAGGAAGACATATCTTTAAGCTGGCATGCTCCGTAACACATCTGACAGCATTAGCCCAGCAGCAAATAGGAGGAACATTCTGTGACTCTTTGTCTTTTCAGCATGCACCGTTTCACTCCCCAAGGTGGGATCTACAGGAGGATAAAGACGGTCTGTCCTGCCCAGCTGGTGAGGAAGGAGAGCACAGGAACAGCACAGGGAGAGCCCTCGACCTGCCTGGGAGCCACTGCTAGGGATTGAGAGGCTGGAGGTTTGTTTTTACCGTTGCTATTGCTGCAATACTTGCTTCTAGGAAGCAACTCGGGCTTTGCCAATAAAGCTGCAGAATAAAGCCTCAGCATGTATGAATGATCCACAAAGTCTATCAACTCTTTTGTTGCAGCTTCAGTCTCACAAATGGTTCCTGGACAACTCCATTTTATAGGAATTTCCTTCCTCTCATAATGTGAAGGGTCATGGATCTTAAATCGAACTTCTTTCTGAAATATTCGCCTATAACCAGCAGTACTGGCATTTTCTGCTGAAGGGAATACATGAGGAGGTTGATGCCCAAGAAAAAAAGCAGATAAAGGGAGCCAGAAGAAGTGGTGAGAGGGCAGAAGAGAAGAAGACACTCATCCTCCTCTGAGAAGCAGGACAGAGCAGAGCTCCTCACCCTCCCAGGAAGCCAGCAGAAAGCATCGTGCCTGGGAAGCACAGCCAGGGTAGGAAGGGCCAAGCCTGGACACTGGCCACATGGCTTCCCCTCTTCTTGTTGTTTTTAAGGTCTGAGCCTCTCCATAACATCCCCCAAGGCTTTAACCTGTCCAGGAAAAGTCCAGGCGCACTTTGTTCCCTCATCTTTAGTCCAACAGCAAATGCTGAGCACATAAACAGCAGCGAAGTGCTGTCTTTCCAGTAACAGCTTGATGGGAAACAGCCATCAAACTAAAGAGGAGCAATGGCAGATCCAGGTCAACACAGCATCACCAGTTGCATCATCAGGATTTCTTTCTTTGAAGCCCTGAGGACACTGCCAAAGAGGAAAACAGCAGCCTTCCTACCTCTCCAGGAACCTCAGGCACTCCTCCAGGCACACAGCTTCCACCTTCTCACTCAGGCTCTCACTGACACGCCAGGCAGCCTCCGTTTTCTCTCTTAATATCTGTGGATTTCAAGGCATGAGAGGAGAGCAGGCCAAAGCCAGTTGTTCCCTATGCAGTGAGCAGGAATATATCCCCTCCCTCACCCTGCTGCAAATCCCTCTGTCTTCTAGGCAACAAATTTTGTTTCAGTTTTGAGAGCCTTTGCAGAAATAAAAGTATTTTTTAGGACCCTGATTTTAACGTCTGATCCTACACCTTTGCTACTGCTGCTGTCATTGTGGTCAACAGGCTGGAGTCAAGTCCTGTGCTCAGAGGAAAGCCTGTCCCTACAGATGTTCTCTGCTTGCCATGCCAGCCTGGCAGCTCAGCTCATACAAAGACCTGCCGTCTGTGGGAGCACCTGCGCTTCCACGTGACTCACCCTCGCAGATAAATTTGGGTGCAGCCACTGAAAAAGAAGGTGAGGCAGCTCTAACTGTGTGCCCTGCTCCTCTGCTAGGGTCTCTACCAGGGATGTCTGATGAAGACAGCTGTCATCTTCCTGGCCACCACTGCTCACGCCTGACAGGGCAATGTGTGTTAAGCCCCAGGGCGCCTGTCTCCCCACACTGACCCCAGTTGGGTGGCCCAGGTGCCTGCAGGAGGTGGGCTGTGCCAGACAGCTAAAGATCCACCCCATATTGGGCAGGCTTGAGCAGGTGGCAACTTAATGCTGCCCATTAGTTGCTCTGTGGAAACAAAAGCTTGCAAGGGGAGGAGAGCCAGATGGATAAAAGGAGACAGATGGACTCATACACTGTGCTCTCCCAGTGCTCTGGGAAGCGTCAGTCAGAGACAAAGGGTGACTCACATCGTGAATGGGTTTTTCCACTGCGCACAACAGATGTAAAAGTTCACCCAAGGGGACAGGATAAAATATGCCACCCCAAAGTGTCAGGAAACCATGGCTGATGAGTTTCCATGACACCTTGTTACTTTTCTATCTGATCTTTAAGCATCAGCCTGAGAAAACTGGGGAGGCAGTACGTTCATAAGGCTTGCCTATTTATCCAGTCATTTCCATCACCTACCCAAAGTATTCAAACCTGTCAGTTACATACACAGCAGAGCAAAACCACCCGTGCTGAAGCATGGCCAGATGTTGCAGATATGAGGACCACAGCATCCAAACCAGGCTTTGGCCTGGTCCCTGCTGGCCCCTGTTAGCCAGAAACAGGAAAAAAAAAAGCCAGCTCAGTAGCTAAAAGCCACCCTAGCAAAGGTACATCACTGAGTACATCACCGCTCCAGAGGACACAGGGCAAGGCAAGGAGGGCACAGTCCCCTCTGTGAGCTCTATACTGGGTGCCTGGGTCTGAGTTGGGCCAGAAAAGCCAGGTCTTGCCAGCTAAAGCTGTATGCTCACAAGGAAGGCCAGCTGCTGTTGAGCTGCAATGCCTACCACCAGCCTCCAGCAGGGTGCCTGAGGTAGTCTGCCATCCCAAAGGACCATGGGGCTACTTTCCCCTCTCACAACCTGGAACAGGAATGCTGCTGGGGGGGGTGGCAGTGGAAAAGTCACAGCACCCCACAACCTACCCCTGATCTCTAGCATCACTTAAGTCTACAGGTAAACTCCAGGATTTATTTTAAACCTTCTGCAGATCTTGATCTGAATACCCTCTGGCCGTGGTATGTACTGCTCACAAATCAGCAGAGTGTGCTTCTGCAATGCCCTTCGAGCACTCAGCTTTGCTGTGCTCTGGAGTAGTCCCTTGTGCTGCCTAACCTGTCAGGGCAGCAGTTGCAGCTGTACCCAGCACATAAGCAAGGAGCAAGCTGCCTGCGCCCGCACTGCTAGATAATGGGGACCTGCCATGGCTCGGCAGCTCTCACTGCTTTTATAAAAGTGCTCTGCAGAACTGATACAGAGGAAAACAGTTAACACTCACCATCACTTTCCAAAAGGTTACATGAAAATCAAGGTGCAGCTATGAAAATGCAGCTTCAGCTTGAATTAACTAATCTCAGGCTCATCCTTTTTTAGATAGTTTAGTTTTCTTTACATATGCACAATAGGAAAACAAGTTTGGGAGCAAACAGATGCAGTTCAAGTATGGCAGCTAACTAGCAAGTTTCTAACACACCAAGCTTAGCCCAAGACATGCAAAACTGCATATTGCCAAATACCTACGTACATGTGTGCAAAACCACAACTGTTCCAAAATATGAGAACTTTTCAGTTCCTCCCAGTTTACCTGAATGACCGCAGCATCTGCACAAGGGGGTTTCCCAATATCAAAGGCTTCTTTCAGGGCTTTCCCTACTTCCTTCTAAATATTAAAAGAAAAAAGAACAGTTGAGATACAATGGCATTCATAATGAATTAGGTCTTCCAGTCTCACATTATGCATTTAGACTAGATGAATTTCTGCCTCTATTTTTTTGGCTGTCTTGTTTAACCCAAAGCCTGGCTATTTTCCAGCTGACCTAATAACATTGTTCTGTTTTGTTCTACATTGTTTGTTTGAGTTTAAATGATTTGCAGCTTCCTTTCATCCCAGTGTCAACTCGGGTTATCTACAGTCTTCCCTAGTTAGCTTAGCTTAAATGAAGGCGCCCACACAGCAAAACAACGCTTAGACACAACTCTGTGCTGCCAGCTACTGTAGCTGAGATTTTCCACCCTTCCTAGCTCCAACCGGCACCCGCATAAACCAGCCAGTGCTAATTAAAAGCATTCCCTCACTTGAACCAGGGACTTGTGAGTGCAAAGAGGAGTTGGGTTAGTGTTTAGAGCTACTGTCACAGTGAGATGATCCCCATGAGGCTGCATGATGGGAAATTTCCCAAGACTTGGCTGGCTTGTGTTATTTTGAATAGACTTTAAAAACAAAACTAATACTGCAGAGAAAGGGCTCATTGCTTAAAACATGATCTGACCTTTATAGAAGCTTTCAACTCAAAAGCCTGACTCGCTTATTTATTCTTTCATTTCTGCATCTTCCTCCAAGGAAATAGAAAGAATGCGAAGTCTGATCTTCCATTTCTGACTTTGTTCTTTTCTGGCTGATGAATTAGGAAATTGTAGCTGTCACTGAAGAATATCATCAAAAGTATATTCAAAACAACTTCTCTGACATACTCATTGAAAAGTGTTAATCAAAGACAAATAAGCAATTGTAAACAATCCAAGAAAAATTCCTTTCCTCCTCAGTGCCATCACCTGACTGTGAGCAATTGTGTGAACACGATGTGCTGAGATAACACATCCCAGCCGATCTGCACAAACACTTCTAGCCTGCCCCAATTGCACAGCAAAATGTGTCAGCTTAAGCCAACATGAAGGTCTTGCTCCCCAATGGGACAAAGCATGTTTTTAGTTAGAAACTGCAAAGCAATAACTTGTTGAGCCACAGTACTTAGTTGCTTTGGATCAGATGATGTGTCTGAATGAGCACGAGCTTGACCATTTGCAGCTCTTTTGGTGACACCAACACTTCAGGCACCAAAGCTCCAACATGGAGAGGACCAGAATTTCTGCTGTAACAAACAGGCCCATAAATAACCTCCAGTTTCCTCCCTCTCTGACCACGACGTGGTACACCATGCTGTAAAAACTTCAGATCCATGGATGGGCAGCTCACCGGTGCTGATTGCCCAGCCAGCTGTTTACTCTTGGAAAATACAAGAGGCTGAGTTATAACTTGGGTCCCTCATCTGTCCAGCTGCTGTCTGAAAACATGAAAGAATTTAACATCCTTGAGACCTCTACATCGTAATCAAGTGTGGTCAAATTTGGCTAAGAGGCTCAACACGGGTGGGAGCGCGCTGCTGACACACTAAAGGGCAGGTGGGCACAACAACTGCACAGCCTTATTCATTTGCGTAGCAGTAGGTCCTTGGCCCAAATTCTCCAAAGCACATGAACTTCTCAGTTCTCTTTTTTGTATACCTGAAAAAATGGAGGGAGAGAAGGAGGGAAAAAAGAAGACACAGACCCAAGTGATCCCTTCCAGGTCAGTCTAAACCCTCCTTGAGATTTTGTCCAGGTATGCATGTCCAGTCCTGCCATCTGTTTCTGGACAAAGAGGCAGTTTTGAGCAGAGGCTGCAGAAGCGGGGGACAAAAGTTCATTTTCCCCCTCTCAGTATCAGAATGAACCCTGGTGTCATGCTGGAAGGTTTGCCTTAAACACATGTCAAATTCCCCAGTACAGCAAAGGCAGGGGTGACAGATCATCAATCCAATCGATGGCACTATCACTTCCAGTTCACCAACCTTGCAACCTCAAAAGGCACAAAGCTCCCTTGCCCTAGACATGTCTGGGCTGAGGGAGCCTTGCCTGCGTGCAGAGCTGGCCGAATTCCCCACACTGGTGTTTGGAAGTGGTGTTGAACCCCATGTGGCATCTGAGCTCTCAGCACTTTCAGATGTGGTCACAGTTCTCATCACTCACTTCTGTTTAAAGTGCTTTTAGTTTGCACAAACATCAGGCTGGCACTCCCGGTGACAAGCCAGGTATTCATAGACAAAGCAGACCATGGCTTATTCTGGTCAGTCTCTTTTAACTTATTAAAATTTAGTCATCCATTGAAGTGGCAAAACCTGCACCATGTGATTTACAGTCACAAATAGATTACAATTGCTCAGAGATTACTGACAGGATATTTGCTCAATAGCAGCTTCCTGTATATTTGGAATAATGAAGGGCTGTAGTATGCTGGAAAAAGAAATAGAGGGATGGAGCAGGTTTTATAAGCCATGCCACTGAGCTGAGTGAAGAAACATCCATAATTTTTTCCATATGGAGTCAGCTCATGTCCACTTAAGCTCATTACCTTGAACCTGGAGCTGGTCCCAAGCTGGCCAGGTTTGAAGTTAGCTGGGATGCTGCTGTACCACACTCTCCAGCAATTCCAGCTCTGCTCTCTGTGTACAGTGCAGCACCATGCAGAGCTGTGAAGCTTCCAGATCCAAGGTGGCTTGAAAAAATGCAGCCAACCCAGAGCAGCATGGTACAAAAGCTCATAACCACTAGTTGGATCTAGGTGAGCCTGCTCAGCATATGGCATATCAGAAAATCAGAAAGCCCATGGTTAAAAAAGCTTTCTCCAGCCACTACATTAGAGGGAACTTTAAAAAAAAAAAAAAAAAAAAAAAAAAAAAAAAAAAGTTAAATTCTCCATCACTGTCAGTCAGCATCTGTGAGGGTTTGTCAATGACACAACAATGTGCTCTAAGATAACCTCACTAGCACTGCTGTGAATAAAGTCATTTCCTTCACTGAAATACATGCCAAAAACAGACCTTAAGAACATGTGGTCTTCCCCAGTATAATGATTATAAACAGTCCATAAAGATGCTTAATGTTAAACACTGAAATCAGTAGGTTTTAAGCATATTGTTACCAGCTGGCACCTCTACTTCCATATTTGTGACTACCTTCCTGTTCTCATTCAGGGAATAGGTCTTGAGAAAAATCTCTGCAATTTAGAGTACTTTCCCTGGGGTGATTCAGCAGTTTGCAATGGAATTTCCCCTCCTCTGCTCCCTAAGGTCTAGTGGAAAGAGAAAGTGAGAGATGAGTGCAGAAACTCCTGCTGCTGCATTTTGGCTATAACTGAATCTAAAAGGCCCCACTGAGTTTTCCAAATAGCATGGTTTCCCCTAGAGCTCCCTGTTGCTACAACACATCTTTCCTGCTTCATTTGTATTCCACATGCCCAGACAGCATTCTTCAAAGGGGGAGCTTTGCTGAGGAACAAAGGAGATTCTGCAGCCCCGGAGCTGAGGTTGCCTGTGGGATCGCAAAGCAGGATGCCCTGCTCTGACCTTACAGGAGGGATGTGCCAGGTGTGCACCAGCTACGCCATTTCTTGTGTTGGGCTCTGGAAATAATCTTTGCTATAACCACAGCAGTGTCAGTCCAGCAGCCTGGAGAGGGCTGTGAGGTGTTCACATACAGACAAACCCAGCAACCTCAGTATCAGGCACAGCTGAGGCAAAGGGACTATCAAAAAAACAACTGTCACACACTATGGGCTCATTAACAGCTGGAAAGAAGGTAAACAGCATCTTGAAATGGCCCTCAATAATTATGGGAGTGGATTTCACCCATAGACTCCCTTTCCTCCAGATACATTGGCTTCTGGGCACAAGTAGACTGCAGTAGCATGAAGGTGCAGCAACAGGACAAAGAGAGATTTGCAAATGTCCCAGCATCTCTTTGCTAAGTAGCAAGGACAGAGCAGTATCAGTCTGGCAGAAGACAGTCATGGATCTTCACCTGTGGGCTCTGCAGTGAAACTTGTCCAAGATGAAGACCTCGGAGCTCATGCACCCCTGAGCAGAGCTGGCTCAGCTAGCAAGGGAGCAGATAATTTAACAAGGGCCTTCCTTATTTTAAAACTGTGGGAATAAAACAGGCAGATTGGGGTAAAACTCCTTAGTTCTTACCTGGGCAACTGCAAGTAACTTTTCCTCAGTCTTCAAAATAATCCACATGAGACACTGTACACCAAGGGAAAGGCTGTGCTGGGGTTTCTGCCTGAGTCTCAGACATGTCTCTCTGCCACTGCGTACAGAAACAAGAGCTCAGCCAGAGGGGCAGCTTCCCGCTGGTCCACAGCCCATCACCCACCTGACACCCCCTGCTTGGCACCACAGCCTGACACTAGCAAACGGGTGCCCTGCAAGCACCCAGCAGTGTTGAGGCAGCCACAACATGGGAGATGAGCTTTATCATGCCTTTTCACCAGCTATTCTTTTGTACAGTTCCTTTTCCTTTTACCAGTATTCACTACCCAGATGACACTTTTTGCTTGCCACTTTCCTCTCCACTTCCCTCAGTCCTGCTGCTGAATTCCTTCTCAGGCTTGGGTAGAGCGACCCAAACACACTTCCATGGATGCACAATTTTACAAGTGTCACAAATTCTCTCTGAATGGAATAAAAAGCCGCTGTATATCAGGACAACTACATCTGCACAGGAGCTTTCATTGAGGTTGTAACTGTATTCAGAGAGGAAGTTAAGTTAAGTCTGGCATCTCTGCTCTTCTCATTTACACTTTCTTCACTGCCTTCTGACCCTAATACAGTCACGGGCTATTCCTACTTTTTTTTTTTTTCTTGAAGGAATTCAGCATTTGCATAACACATTTTTCCTATCTTTGAGCTTTTCATTATACATTTACATTACATAATTATTCCCCTCCAAGTTTGCATAAGTTTTTAACATTTCATCAAACCATTACTCTTATCTGAAATGAAGGTTTTACCATTTTAAACCCATAAAAGTAGCAGTAGAATGGATGCATTCTGGCCACATGTCTCCCATGTGTCTGAGGACAGTATGCACCAGTATGTACCCACCACCCTGCCTCCCTCCTTTGGGAGCTGGTGAGGGAAAGAGCCCACCTGATGAACTGTTTAGGAGTTAATCAGGGGTTTATATGTGTAATTAGTACAAGGAACATAGACACTCTAGGCTTGGATGGAAACAATCAAATAACCCAAAAGGACTGAAAACTATTAGGACATAAATAGATTGGGGCTCTCAAGTAGCAAAGTAACCACAGACACAGAGAATCAAACACCTCATCTGACCACTGCCATACAGAAAGAAAACACAAGCTAGCTTCAGGCTTTGATGACACCCACAGGTTTTGAATTCACTCTGGGCCAAAAGGTCCCAGATGTGCTGCTCTTTAGATCATGCAGAAAGCCACATCCGTTTTCCCAAACTTGGGCAGGAATTTAATTATCTGTTATATGTTTTTCCTGTGATATAAACACTAATGCAGGAAATAGGGAAGCAGCTGGTCAAACTACAAGCCAGATAAAGCAGTAAGAGAACCAACGGACAACAAGAGAAGCCAACAGAGCACTATGCTGACATAACAGCAAGAGAAAATTATTCTGGAGTAATCAGAGTATTATGGACCTTGCCAAGAAAGGCTTAATGCAAGAAAAGAAATTGATCAAGAAAGCAGGACACTGCATGTCCAAGAGGAGTCCAGTGGAGAAACACCTGCCTACCTCAGGTAAGCCCATGAGCCCAATACTAAAGATTTAGAAAGAGGCAGTACTGCTATGAAAAAAGGCTCTGATTCTGAGAGCACAGAAGATAAAACAGGCAGTGGGCAAGTCTAAACTCAGCAAGAGTCCTGAGCATCACTGTGTTAACAGGAAGCAGGGATTGTGCTCAGAACTGAAGAACAGAGACATAGAAAATATGTAGAGACAAGTAAGTCCTTCAAACATACCTTTTGTACATTTTAAGGCCCCATTCATAAACTAAAAGACATTGGCTGAAGCTGAAATGGTTACTGTCAGTAAGTGTGGAAAGGTGAGAAGACAAAGATGCATGACAGCAGTGGGTGTAGGTGATGAGCAGTCCTGCTTCCTTGAAGACACCGCTTCTGTGCTCCAGGCTGGGGAGAAACCTCGTCTCCAGCTGACTCAGATGCTGTTTTAGTGCAGTCTCATCTGTGTTACTAGAGGAAATAAACAGGGGAATCTGGGCTGTCATGTACTGTATTAGTTTTTCCTCTAGATCTTTCCTCCAGAAGTTTGGACTCCAAGTAGAAACAGACTCCACCTCTTGGACGCTGCCAAGCCACTCCGCTTCCTTCTGCTTCTTCCACTTCAGCGATTCTCCCACCGACTGCAACGGCTCCAGCAACATCCTACCATTTCCACTGAGCACTTCTCCCACCACAGACCACATTTGTTCAGCCAGTAGTGTATAAAGTGATTCAGACTTTCCCACACCATCATTTCCAGAATGCTCCAGATCATAAATACGATCACAAGCTTCAAAAAATTTTCCTTGCTCAATGAATCCACAGATTGTTTCCTCTGCAATAGAGAGATTAACACAACTTGATGTTTGTTCAATTCTCTATGACCCATCACTTTCATTACATACACTGAAGTATGTACTTTATATGTATGACAAAACTCCTCAGGATCTACTCAAGATGACCTCACTTAAGGTCTAGCATTAGCACCTCTCAGTTCCCTCAGGGCAAGCACTTTCTTTCCTCTTTCTTTCATCCTTGCTACTCCAGGCTAATTAAGCCTGCAGACTAGTCTACACCTTTCTGTCATCATCTCAGTAGACTCCTCATCTGGGCAATGCAGGTTCATTAATTACAATCTTTCCTTAAGGAATGTATCTTTTGTCCAGAAGAGAAACATCAGTCAAAGGACATCTTCTGAAAGAGCCAACAGCTGAAAGTCATGCCTAGAAGGAATCCTCTGTCTTCTTTACAGAAACCCTGGCAGGACCAAAGTGCTGCATAAGGACCCTCCCACCTGTTGACAGTCTGGCATGGCTACGCAGAGGGTGTCACTCCTACCAGCTCATCTTAGACCAAGTCTGCTCAGTGCAGTCCAGGGCCCTCTTTTTGCCAGGGCTTTTTAATTAGGCCAAACAACTACATGCGCTGTATTGCCCAGAGGTGAAAATCAGAATGTGGGCGACCTATATGAAGCAATGGGGATCCACGTAACTCCCCACGACTTTCATATCTGCAAGGAGCTGTGGTGACTGAGCCACTGTCCTAATCACCAGACACCTTGTCAAGTTACGAAATCTTTAAAGTTCAGAAGTTGGAAGAAGTTTTCCACTGCTGCTTGTTTCCAAATTATCTTACCCATCACACCCAGCCCACCACTAGAGTTAAATGTAATCTCACAACAGCTGCACAGAGATGAGGGTTTTTTCCTGTGCATTTTACAGATGACAAAATTGAGCGACACAGGTTTAACAAGAGTTGCCCAAAGGTATCTGGAGCAGAGCCCAGAGGAAAAATCAAACTTAATGAGAACCGAAGGAAAGTTAAGCAAGGCCAGAAGCAGTGGGACTCTGAAATCAATTCAGGATACAGATTTGGGTAGAGTGAAGAATGAAACAATTTGAGCTTCCATTATCTTTCAACTGTATCCTAACTTTCCTCGATGAAAACACCTTGCCTGTAGTAAGAATTAAATCAAACAGGACTGGACTGGAGGGAGGAACATGACATAAAATGGAGAAGGGTTGATGCAATGATCTTCAGCAAAGCAATGGGCAAGCTGCTCAGGAGGCGTCTAGCAAGATTCACTTGTCCTGCCTCGATACATGCAGCACATAGGAAATGTTTACTTGGTACAATTAGCCCATGTGCAACCAACGTCCCGCTCCCCATCTGTGGAAGAACAGCACAGTCACACCTGACAGGGTGTCAGTCACACATACATCGTCCTTCTCATAAGACACATCAGGAGTCTTTGCAGGGATAAAAATAAGAACGGCAAAGAGAAATACTTGTGAGGCAAAGGAAAAGTGAAATACAGAAGCATCCAGAGGAGCAAGTGTACAGTTCAGAGAGGACAAAAACTCAGGTGAAGGGTGGGGAGGGGGAAAGCGTGCAGCACCTACTCCAGCAGCTAATGAAAACAAGAGCTTGCAGGGCTGGGAGAGGCAGAGAAGGTCCAGGACTGGACTCAGACAGAACAGAGGTTACCTGCAGGCGTCTCTCCCTCTGCTCCCTTCCTACTGGTTGCCATCTTCAGCAAATTCCCTGCCACATCCTCACCACCAGCCTTCACTTCCGATGCCTCTTTACCACTAGCTGTAGCCTTTAGCAATTTGCCTGCCACGGTTTTCAGTTTCCCTTTCCTCTTCGCTTCCTGCTTCTTTCTCTCCTCAAGTGTGGCCTTGGGCAGCATCCTTGCATTTTCCCCAGCCATTTCCTCCTGCTTGCTGACTCTCCCTGCGAAGGCTCCCCAGGAATACTTCATCTTCCTCATGATCCAAGCAGATTCAGATGCTTTCTGTCCAACTGGGAATACAGTCAGAAAAAAACATTAGAAACATTTCTATGCAAGGTGATCTTAGCAGCTGTCTCCCAGAGAAGTCCTTTCTCCCCAGACTGACTTAATTTTTTTTTGTGCAGCCACAGGCTTCAGCTTCCTTCAAAGAAGTCTAACCTGGTTCCTGCCCATGCTGAGTGAGGACATTTTTATAGGCTGCCAGCCCTCTTATGTAATATCTCTCTCTTCTAGGAAAATAATGTCAAAAACCTCATACATAATCTAACCACAGGCACCAGGGGAAAGCCAGCGGGATTTTTGGCATTTTCTAAATGACTAAAACATCCCTGCATGCTGCTAGTTATTTTGATGACAATCCTATCAGTTTAAATGAGTTGATTATTAATAGTTTCTTTAAAGTACACATCACTTCGTACCCACCCCATGTGCCCTGACTGCACCTAAACTCTTCTTTGGCAAGATCACACCTGGCTTTGGAGCCAAATTTTTCCCCACCTCCCAGCAAGCCTAGTGTTAGCCAACAGGGAAGTAAAGCCCTAGAAAACAGGCACTGGTTTTCACGTTTTAGCAGCACCATTTAGAGGAGATAAGAGTGATCTCAGCCTTCTAGATTGTGCAGTTCTCTAGCAACTATATACACTATTATATACTATTTTATACTTATATACACACATATATATAAATGGCATAACATTACAGCAATCCACCATAAATGTGTGCGTGTCTCTGTGTGTCCATATGGGCATGCACATATATATAGGTCTATTCACCATCCAGCCTTCACAGTTTAGAGAAAGGAAATAGAATTATAGAGTCACCAAATGGGCTGGGTTGAAAGGGACCTTAAAGATCATCTAGTTCCAACCCCGCTGCCCACTCAGTGCAGAGACCATATTGGTGAGTCCAGGGCTGTTAAAGGTTCTGATCCGTAATCCTCAGAACAAATTCCTATACAGAAAATATCATTTAACTCTAGAAGCTTATGTTTAAAATGGCTTTTTAAAACTCCCTGCACTGCTGTAAGACTTCACACTTGGAGATAAGCTGAAACGCTGTCATTACCATGCTTTTTGCTAAACAGTTACAAACTGGTTTTTATTTGTCCTTTCCATTACTATAAAAATTAAATAAAGAACTTAAGGATTTTCTTCAGCTGAAGAATGAGTCTTGTATTAGCCATTAACAGCTGTATTGGTTCAAAATCATACACTATTCAATAAATATTTGGGGGGGTGGGGGGGTGGTGTATGAATTTAAGAGGCAATTTTTCCACACAGCATCTAAATTAATCTGAATATGTGCATTCATCTTTCCAGGTTTAATGCCTGCAGTTTATTCCAAGATTTTCTACATTTTCATGACAGTAAAATTCCACTAGTTTCCTACTTGGAAACCAAGTAAATGTTATGTTATTTTGGCTCTTTTACTCAGTGCTTAATTCCACCAGCATGTTATCTCTGAGCCATTTGATTCATTAGTAACAACAGGGAGGAGGAAATAAATACATTTCATTTGGAAGGACAAACAGAAATTCCAGTGGTCATACATTTGAGCTGTTGCCAGTAGGAGATACTGAAGTTGCAAAATACAGTGTTTTCCCAGGTTGTGAAAAAAGTTGAAAATTGAGAGGCTTTATATATATTCCATTTTGACTTTAATTTTTAATTGGCTAAAGTTAAAATGTTTCATTTGGAATATTATAGCTGGACTATATATGAATACAAGACAGAATGAGAGGGTTAGTACTGCAGACTTGCATTCCAGGCATGCTGAAACCCTTCACCAATATCTTCCCATGAAAATTCCAACACAATGTGTTTATGTTTCACTTCATCAGCATTTTTCCAACAGGTCCAGCTCTAACAAAAACCTTAGACTTCTCTGTGGAAGGAAATTGTATGTCAAAGTGCCAGTCCTGCAGGCCAGATTCTCCACAGTATACAGATTTTGAACACACTTCGGCTGCACCAGGGGATGTTTAGGTTGGATATTAGGAAAAACTTCTTCACCAAAAGGGTTGTCAAGGATTGGAACAGGCTGCCCAGGGAAGTGGTTGAGTCACCACTCCTGGATGTATTTAAAAGACATGTAGATGTGGTGCATAGGGACATGGTTTCATGGTAGACTTGGCAGTGTTAGGTTAATCGTGGGACTTCATGATCTTAAGGGTCCTTTCCAACCTAAATGATTCCATGATTCTGTGATTCTCAACTGGGCCAACATGATGTATGGGAATTACTGTATTTTCCCAGAAAGCATCTTTCAAGAAAATACAGTATGAACCTGTGGAAAGCAGGGAGCGACTGAGTAGAGGTGGATGGACTTCCTGATCCACTCAATCAAAGCCATGGTAGACAGTCCCCAGGATGAGACTGCCCTCAGGGCACACCCCATCTGAGCACTGCAGCACCAACAACCCAGACGGCTCATCTGTTCTACCTTCATCTTGTTCACAAACCAGGGGCAATGTGTGTGTATAGGCCCAGCAGGCAGTTGCCTATGGGAGCAGGCAGCTCTGAGCCCCCTACAAAGGGACAGCAAGTTGGGGATGGCCTTTCCAGCTGTGGGTGCTGAGCCCATCAGCAGCATGAGGTGATGCCCCATCCCTCCTGCTGCAGTGGGAGCGGCAATCCATCATCATCCACTCTACACACCTCTGCCCACAAGTACTTTCCAAAGGCAAGGGTTGAAGGATGGCATTACTAAGGGGGAAAGTACCAGGAGAGGACATGCCACAAAGGAGCTGCCAAAAGGCCACCAGCAGCCTGCTCTTCTGGGTTTGTACCTTGACAGCACAATCAGGTGCTCTCCCCTCTGTCTCTAATGCTATTTTACTGCTCAGGCTAAAGTTCTGCAGCTAAAACACGGGAATTATTTGAATCTCTAGGAACATCTACTACAGTGCTACCATGAACAGTTTTATGCCTAGAGAAGCAAAGTCCCCAGGAAACTATACCTTTACAGCAGAGGAGCTGAAACATGTCAAGATCAAACTAGAACAAAGGTTTTTCACCAAGTGTTAACATAATGCTAAGGGATTGTTTGCTATTCAAAACCATCATTTTGGGCAGGTGATTTGGGGCACTGCTACATTTCACCTGCCCCTTCCATGGGCTCCTGAGCTGCCCACTCAAGGGGAGTCCTTTCAAGCATAAAGAAGGGCAGTAGGAAACCACAAGGACACAGCACTGTAACAAGCACAGTTCTGCTTCTGAACAATGTCCTTTGTCAGGTGTACCAGATGATCATCTTCTTCCTCAAAAGCCACTTCTTGGAAGCCTGCCCCCACCCTCTCCTTCTTCCTGGTGTTTCAATGCCTCTATTCATCCACAGTGTGGTGTTCTCTAGCGGTGTCATTCTCCTTCTTGCCCTGACCTTGCTACGTTCACTGTAAAAGAGGAGCAATTTGTCTTCTGGGAACATCCCCAGTATTCAGGAGTTTCCCCAATTGGCTGGAGCTCCTGGAAAAGCCCACAGCCTCCCCACATCACTGAGACTCTGTCTTTCTGTCTCAGGAAAACTGTAACTCCTTTGTCTTTTGGATTTTTCACTAAATGAGCTAATATCTCCGTTAAATTTTCATATTGTTTCTCTGTTGACTTAATTCTTTATCTTGCTGCTTCCCATTTCTTTTGCCTATATAGATAAAATCTCTTCATAATAACTGGATTGTGTGCCTGACTTGAACAATAGCTGTTTGGTCTGGACGCTAATTGGATGAAGTCAGACTATTAGCACTTCAAATTAAATGACTTTGCAAAAGTCCAATTACATTAATATTCCAATTCCAGCAATGCAGTGATGCCCTTGATTGCTTTACAGGGACTCCACGTGAACACAGTCAGGCATATACAATGGAAACTTTGTGTTCAGGAGCATGTTATATGAAATACACTTGAGCCCTAACAGGCAGGCTGGATCTGCAGTATCTGGAGAGAGAGAGAGATGGATTTTTTCCACCTCCTCCTTTGTTTCCAGAACATGCTGGTACTCTTCACCACTTTAAACCAAAGGCATCAAAGATGGCAGAAAGAAATATTAATTATGACGATAAAACATGCAGAGTATGGCAGAGAAACATGGTTTCCCTAGGATATAAATCCATGCAAAAGCACTTTGTGAAGTTATGATGCAGTCTGACAATTTGTTCCTCCGCCCACACATAGCATCTTTGATTTCATCAGCAATCAAAGAACAGCCAGTCTGCATTATAAGCAAGGTAGGCTTTCTGGAGAGGGACAAACCAACCAACCAACCAAACCAACCAAAAATACCTTCCCCTCCAGTCTGACATTGCAGCTGGCATTGCTATAATGGTTATATGCAAGAGGTAACTTTGTTAATTGTGCAAAACTAACTGTTTATCATTCTGTGAAAAGCATATATTTATTCTTATTTCTAGGGATAACTACATTTCCTAAAGACATGAGACAATGCAGCCACAGGTTGCATGCATCTCTGTGTTCACCTGATCCCCTGCCCTAATGTACTTGAGTGGGTCTTAAGTCAGTTTTAACCAATTTTAAAGTTAGTTTTAATCAAACTGACAGAGGGTGGCTGACACAAAATAGTATTACATCCTTACACACTTCATGAAAATACATGGCTGAGGGGAGAGGATAAACCTTCACTGCTCCTGCTGAGGAACAAAACACAGCATGAATGCAGCCTTTATTAGACATCAGAGACTCCACCCGGCAGCTCAATCTGAAGGTACACAGACATGGTTTCCTTGTCTTTGTTGCTCACTAAACCCCCTGTATACTCTCCAGCTAACCTTTGTCTGTGCAAGAGTAAATAAAGCAGCACAAATATTTAACACAAGCAACCTTTCCCATATCAACAGCTGAAACATGTGACACCTCCTTGCCCCAGGCTGCACCTCCTCACTTCCCCAACATC